GCTATGAAGGGTAAAGGTTTAATAACAAGACTTTCGGAAAATTATATTGTCATAAGAATAGATCATGAAAATGAATAATTATTTAAATAGTGAGTTTATTTATCTTATTTAGGTGCTATATGGATTAATATGAATTATATGATTCTATCAGCATTACAACATTATGCAAAAACACCTGGACCATATTCTGATAAAGCTCGTCAAATATATGGACAATTACGTACAAATTTAATAACAAATATGTTTCGTGTTTATGAAAAAACAGGACATATTTGGGAACAATATGATGATAAGACTGGTCATGGACAAGGTAGTCATCCATTTACTGGATGGTCATCACTTATTGTATTGATCATGTCTGAACTTTATGATGAATAAAACACAAAAACACAACATTTTCTATTCCATTTTTCTTTTTACTTTATTGGTGTGTTTGTGCATTTACATTTTTTGTCCCGGTTTTGAAAAAAAACCAAAAGCAAAAATGGCTAACTGAACATTGTTTTGTGATATTCATGTTTGTTTTTTTTTGTTTTCAATCTCTTTTCACATTTTTCTTTTTCGTATATTTCTTTGCTTTTCTTTTCTTTTTTTTTCTATATTGTTGTTAGTTTTGCTGTTGTTACTTTTGTCTTATTTCGTGCACAAACACACACATACACATACACAGTTTTTTTTTTAGAAACAAAAAAAAAATAACATTCTCATGCATTCTCTTTTGTTTTTCTTTTTTTTAGATGAGTCGTTTTATAACAATTGAAAATTTATCATCATATATGTGTCAGTTAAAATCTATTGTTTCGTCCTTATTATGTGATCATACTAGTATGAAATGTGTTGATTCTTCATCATCATCATTCGAATTTTTTTCATGTCCAATAAAATTAATTGAAGAACTTAATATTATTCATCCATATCATTCTTTAATTATTGAAACATTAGAAACATTTCATAATAAATATGATGGATGTTCATGTAAGACATTATTATTTTTTTTTATAACATTTTATAATCATCTTCAAATATTATTCGATAAAAATAATCAATTAATTCAAAAGAAAATTTTTAATTATTTAGAACAATTTATTGATCAATCATTATTAATTGCTAAAAATAATTTTATTGAAAATTTATATTTAAATTTAAATATATTTCATCGTATATGTCGTTTTCAAAAAATTTATTCAGATATTCTCTATGAAGTTTATTTATATTTTATTTCATCAAAACAACAAATAATACATGAAGAATTAATTAAACAATTTGATAATCTTAATCATATAACATATGTTAAATATTCTGAAGAAAAATGTTTATTTATTCCTGGTACAATAATTCCAATAAATAAATCAATAAAAGGATATAAACGTACAATATTAATTGATGGATATATTTTAGAAGATTATATTCATATTGGTTATAATAATAAATTAAAATTAAAACAAACATCAATAAAATCTTCATGGATCTATATAATATTATCAATTTTAGAAAAATATTCTATTGATATTATTTTATGTACAGGTACAATTGATACAAAATTAAAAGAATTAAATCATAATAAAAGAATTTTTATTGAAAATATTTCTAAAAAAATTTTTCAATTATTTGAACAAAATTTTATAATAAATTATTTAACTGATATTAATGAAGAAAATATTTTATTATTAAATTATCTTGAATATCATAATGATCCTTCAATAATATTTATTGAAAAAGGTTTAACAATTATTCAATATGTACCATTTGAAAATTTAATTTCAATTAAACATGAACAATTTGTTCATTGTTTATCAAGATTTCGATTAATACTTAAAAAAAATTTTTATTTAAAAGGTTCAGGTGAATTTGAAAATAATTTATATAAATATTTATATGATAATAAAAAAGAAAATTTATCTATTGAATATAATTTTGCATATGAATGTTTTCTTGAATGTTTAAAATTATTTGTTAATGAATTATTAAATCATAAAGAATTATTTGAAAAAAATCTTCTTGATGATTTTGATTCAAAATTCGATGCTTGGAAAACAAGTATTGAATTATTAAAAATCATCATGCAAATTGATAATATTGTAAAAATTATTGAAAATGATGATTTAAGTGATATTTAATTAAATAGATTTTATGTCTAGATAGGTTTCTTTTTTTTTGTTCTTCTTTTCTAGATTAAAGTTTTCATTAAAGACCGGTAATTTTGAATGGATGTACAATTATAAATAAAATTTGTGTTTCTCAATATAAAGAGTAACTTTGTTTTTGTTTTTTTTTTTACTAATTCATATGTTTGATTTGAAAACTTTTATTGTATTTTACTTTTTAGTCTTTCCGTCATAATTACATTCAATATTTTACTTCTCTAAACTAATATTCAATTGAATTTTTTTTGTTATTATTTGAAACACTATTATATAAACAAAATAATGTTCAATATTCGATCATATATTTTTGTCAGAGTAATTTTTATTGAATTTAAATTAATCAAATAATTATATATATGTTTGTTTTTTTTTTTTATTCTATTTCAATTAGCTTCGCCGAATATTGTCTATGATAAGACCATTATTAATAATTATAACAATTATCTTTTCAATATTACTTATGTTACTTTATCTTTATTCTCATGAACATTATCAAAAAGAACATTTACCTCAACTTCAAGTTACATTACCAAATGGAACAAAAATATTTATTAATAATAAAGATTCATCAGAAAAAACAAATGTAATTGATCATTGGCATGATAAAGTAAAAGAAACAATCAAAAATAGTGCAAATTTTGGTTTTATTCATGCATTTATTGCATCAATATCAGTTATTATTGTATCTGAATTAGGTGATAAAACATTTTTTATAGCTGCTATTATGGCTATGCGTTATGCACGTTTAATAATATATGCTGGTGCAATGGGTGCTTTAGGTACTATGACAATATTATCAGCATTATTAGGAAATATTGTTACAAAATTTATTCCAAGAATTTATACATATTATTTATCAAGTGTATTATTTGCATGTTTTGGTATTAAAATGTTAAGAGATGGATATTTAATGTCACCAGATGAAGGTACAGAAGAATATGAAGAAGCTGAACATGAAATAGAAAAAGTTGATTTAACAAATGATCTTGAATCAGGTAATGGAGGAATAGGAAATCAACAACAAAGATTACAATCTACATCTAAACAACGAAATACATTAACAAAATTTACATTAATATTACGTCGTTATCTATCACCTATATTTATTCAAGCATTTATTATGACTTTTCTTGCTGTATGTATTATAAAATAGAAAATTTTTGAAAAATTATAATTATATAAAAACAAAGTATTAGCGTAGCTCTTTTGAAGTTAAAATGTGAAATTCACATGTGTTCGTCAGTAAAACAAAAATCTCCGAACATCAAAAGCTACATTATTGAGAATGTATTTCAGTCATTCAAATTTTGAGAAAAGCTTTAGAACATTCTACTTCTTGTTGTTTATGTCATTCAGTGCATTTTTCCGTTGCTAAGGAGTTCTACAAACGAAGTCTGACCACGGTTATTGACAGTTGCTAGGACAACATACTCATTGATCATTGGCATTTTTCATCGACATAAGGCAGATATGTATACTGCCCCCACGAAGGTAATCGTGTCTTAATTATGCCAGCTGTTAAATTCTATTGCTAGGAATTTTTGAAAGAGGACCTTAGAGAATATACTGAGTTAAGGGTACCCAAAAAAGTACCCTGTTACCAGCATGTCACAGAAACTTTTGGGTACCAAAGTACTTATAGGTACTTGAAAGTACCTAAGTGGTACTTTGGCAGGTATCCTGCTACAAAATATATAGTAACTGAGTACTTGAAGATGCTGATCAGGTACTGTTGTACAGTATTTTTAGGTACCCTGCTACCAAAATTTCAGTATGTTCAGGATTGAACCTGACCTTTCACTTTTTGCATTTTTTTCTCTCAAAACGATTTATTACATTTTTTTCGATTTTATTATATTTAATTTTTTCAATTCCAAAAATTCAATAGGTCAAATGTCGAGGTCTGACCGAACTTGAGTTGGTCGAATATCCATGAGACCACCGCAGGATAGTCCGCTCTTAATCTACGATCAAGATCAGCAAGTTCTCAACTAAGAAATAGTGAAAAAATTAGTATGAAAACAGATTAATTTCTTCTGTTTTGCTCAGTTGTTTATACGGAGCCGTGCGCGAACAAGAAAACAGTGAATGAACAGTCGCTACGGAGGACGCAACAAATGTAGGGTATCCTGTAGAGTTTTCCTTAGTAAAATTACAGATGCGGGTATCCATACCAATACTGTGGCTACATTTGCTGCATCGCTAATTTAGGGAAAGGGGGCTAGCTGCAAAATCTCGATTTAAAACAACTAATATTCACTATAGTTTTCTTCGAAAAACAATACTATGAGTTTCACAAAAAAAAAAGAATTCTATTCTGATTTTTATTATTTTTGTATCTTTAGGAATGGGGTGATCGATCTCAAATAACAACAATTGTATTAGCGGCTACGGAAAATCTCTTAGGTGTTATTATTGGTGGTATAATTGGTCATGGTCTATGTACTGGATTAGCTGTTATTGGTGGCCGTTATGTAGCTCAACATATATCACCGAAAACAGTGACACTTATTGGTGGCATTGTCTTCTTATGTTTTGCTTTATCAGTATTTTTTATCCGTTTGGATATATAATTCTATTTAAGTTTTATTTTGCCTCTCTTTTTTTTTTCCTCTCTATGTCATAAAATTCTATATATATATATCAAATAACTGATCAACTAATATCAGCAATTGATCAATTCATTCTTTGTTTTTTTCTTTACTTTTTTTTGGTATTGTCTTTGTTGTTGTTATTATTATTATTTTATTTAGTTAATGAAAAGATGAAAGAACTAAAAAATAAATATTTTATTAAACTCTAATATTTCTACATCTATTTTATATTTCTTGAAGATAAATAAATAAATAAATAAATATGAAAGTTTATGTTGCTGCACCTGGTCAACATAATTGGCCTATTATACCAGATGATATACAAGATCGTCTTTTAGAAATTCTTAATGAATATTTAAATGAAGAAAAACTTGAAATATCATTAAAACGTTCACGAAAGAAAATAAAAAATTTAATTAAACATCCAATTAAACAACATTTAGCTATTGGTTTACGTTGTGTTATGCGTTGTTTAAAACAAAATCAATGTTTATTAGTTTTTGTTTGTACATCATTAACACCAATTATTTTAACTAAACCAATTTTACTTCTTTCACAAATACATTCAATACCATCGATACGTATAAAAAATTTATCAACAATATTAACAAAAATATTTTCTATACGACATTGTTCAACAATAGGTTTTAAATTATCATGTCAAGAACATGAACAACTTAAAAAACTTATTGATAATCTTCTTCAAATAATAAATGGTTGTGAACAACAATCATTAACTTCAATAAAATTTATTCCAGGAAAAATTATTTCACCTTATCAAAATCCTAAACGTATTTCAACTGGAATAGAAAAAAAGAAAAATAAATTAAAAAAACAAAAATAAATCATTAATTTTTTTTTTTTTTTTTTGTATTTGTAGATCGATTAAATTCTAATATTATATTTAATTATGGAAGATTCACAACGTAAATTAAACGATGCTATTTCAACAATGGCTGGAACATTACATCGAAATTATCTACGACGAATTTATGTATGTTTTGATTTATTTAATTTTTCCTGAAATTTAATTTTCATACGACTAAATAAGATAAAATTATTTTAAAAATCATCATACTTTTGCTAAACATTCACTGGTGTTCCATTTCAAGATGATTTTCATAAAAATAAATAGAATTATCTATAATTTAACTGAATAGATACACAATCCCTAGTCGAGACTCTCTAGAAGAATTCCTGTCATGAGTCCCTAGCCCCCCCCCCCCCCTCAAAAAAGTTAGTTTTCGTCAGAATGGCTAAGGTTGAGATAAATACATGGAGAGAAAGCCTGTCATTTGCTCTTTCATAAACGATAGATATTTTTCTTCGATGCCTCCTTTTTCCCGAAAAATTTTCAATATTTTTGACGATCCCTATTCGAAAAACCCAAAAATCTTTTTTGTTTTTTCTCAAGATGGTAGTCGAATGACGCATTTCCAGCGAAAGTCTACTATGATCCTATATAAAGTCAAATCTTTTTTTTTTGTTTGAAAGCTCGTGTTTGGGGCTAGCCTACTTCGTGATCTTTTTTTTAAAATAAGCCCTTTTATTATTATATAAGAAGCCATCTCTATAGAAAAAGAACTATTTTGTAGGGGTTTTTTGAGTCATTGAACTTGTCATCCATTTCCTTCGCTTAAAAGGTATGAATTCAAAAAAAAGGACCACGATGTAGGCTAGCCCTACAGACAAGCTTTCAAACAAAAAAAATTATATATATATTTATATATATAATGAGGGTTCACAGAGGATTCTTGGAGATGAGATGAGCTGTTTTTTGACCCTTGTTTGATTCATATCTCTGTCAAACGTCAGGGTATCGAGCTGAAAATTTTACCACAGCCTCCTCACTTCAGCCCATTTAAACGTACCTGGGCTGAGATCGATTTTCGAGCGGGGGTGCACCTTTAAGAGGGGATTCAGGGACTTCCCAAGGAATTGATGAGTATTATCAGGATCTCTTCAGAAGCCACCATTGGAATTCTCTGAAAAATTCAAATTTTAGAAGAACTCACCGGGAAGTTTTAGGGAGATCTTGAGATATGCAACTCTCCTGGGGACTCACGATAGGGATTTCGCATTTTTCAGAGGACTCTCCGGTGATTTCGTTGGAGAGAGTCTACTAGGAGTTTTGAATATTCAACATTTAGATACGAGAGAAGCATATCTCAAAACTAAAATTACATTGAAATGGAACACCATTTTTATACATCTTTTTTGAATGTTTTGTAAAGATAATAAGTTTTAAAATAATTTTGTCTTATACAGTATGAAATAAAAAGATATTCGAAACTTTCTTCTTTCGATTGCTAAAAATCTTTATTGAGTTATTGAACTTAACGCTCATCAATATTTAGTTCTGATGTGGATATTAGCCATATGAAAACGAAAAGAGTCCGTTGTCTTGTTATTAAAATATACTTGACGATGAACTCATATACTCATAGAAGTAAATCGAGCCTTACACTTTTATACATACTTTCGAGATAGTTGACAAAAATATTGTTTTTCATTTGAAACTATCTAGAAATCCACCAATATTTGATCATTATATTTTCTTTCTTTTTTAATTTTAGGGTGATGCATTTAATTGTTCATACCGGTGTACGGAAGATCCAACACTTGATCCAGTAAAATTTAATCAATGTGTTGAAAGATGTTCATCAAAAATAACTCAAGCTGAACAAGCAATGAGTCAGGAAATGCAACATGTACAAGATCGTTTAATGCGATGTATACAAAGTTGTGAAGATAAAGCAAAAGATAGTGGTAATAAAGATGAAAATCGTCTTCGATCTATTTTTGAACCATGTGTTGTCAATTGTGCTAATGAAATTCATCAATTATTACCTAAAATTGAAAGTCGTATTAGTGATCAATTAAAAAAATATTGAAAAAAAAAAAAAAAAAAAGAAATATGAAGATTTTTCTCATATTTGAAAAAATCAACAATATATGTGTGTATTTAGGTTGATTTTTTTCCCCATTTTGTTTTTTCTTTTCCACCGTTTTTTGTACGAAAACAAAATTATAGGAGAATAAAAAAGAAGAAGATAAATGCATAAAATTTATTAGTTTTCTATTTGATATTATGAAAATTTTCAATTTGCATATTTGAATTCAATCAATATATAATGACAATATGATATTTAACTCAAATTTTGTACTACCATGAAAAATATCACTTCCAATTAAAAAATTGTATTTAAGACTGGCTTTTAGTCATCAAATGTTTGTGCTTCTCATTAGAGAATATAAATTTGAAATTCAAAAATTGTTAAAAATCAATTTCGACTGTTCATTTAATTTCAATTATTTAAAGCGAAAACAATCTTAAGTTGCATGTTTTCATAGTATCGTTTTAAATCAACAGAATACAATATTAACCAGATTTCGTCAGCAGAGAACGGACATAGGTTATACAGTCAACAAGTAAAGGAAGAAGTAAGAAAAAACAGCGAAATTAATACTATAGGCGATAAGTTCAACTTGTCTTGGAACATAATAAACTAATTGATGAAGCTTCGAAAGAAGGAGAACTTACTGACACCAATTACACCAAGCATAAGAGTCATAGCGATCTGGATGATAGTAGAACGAGCAAGTTCGTCTTGGTATATATTAGACACTGCAATAGTTCCAGGCAGTCTTCAATCCCTGAGATTCTTCTAAAGATTTCGAAGTTCAATCAATTCTAGCAACCGTATGGTAACGATGTTCATTGTCCTTGAAAAAATGATCATTCTTGTTTGCATGAACGTTAGTTGCACAGCTGGCTATAGAAAAGCCCAATACTTAACTTTCATTTTCGATATTAACAGAAATTGACGTGGAAGCGATCATATTCGATTAGTTGAACGAAGAAAATGCATAGTGTGTATCAATGAGATGGTATCGTTTGTAATGAAATATTTACCAATAGGAGAAAAGAATCAAATAGTTTAGTAGATCGGAAAGACGAGAACAGCAAGAGCTGTGTTTTTGTATGTACACATTTATCACGATGAGTTACTGTCATCAATAAACAAATAACGATCTTTGTAAAAAGAAAGCTTTCGCAGGAATGTCTTTCGCTAAATGGGTACCATATTGTTTTTGTTGTTTAAATTCTTAAAAATTTAATTATATCAATTTAAAATTAACTTATTTGATGACGTAAATTATTTTAAAAAAAATTACTTAGAACAATTTTCATAAATTTAAACATTCAGTTTTACGTCTAAGCTTCCGTTCCCTTCCCTCTCAAAAGTCAATCGTCAACCAGGAACGTACGAATCACATGAAATACTTAGAATACGTTGTGGTTGTAGTGAAAAGACTATGCTGAAATTTTCAGCCCTATATCATCATGTTTTCGAAAGATATTCAGCAAACAAACGTCAAAAATAGCTCATTTGTGCATTCGAAATTTTCTGTAAACTACAGCCTCAAGATTTGACATTTTCTTGTTTGAAAGAGCATATCAAAACGCAGGGCATGACGGAAATTTTACTTTTAAATTTTCATTTTTCAAAGGAAAAACAGGAATGAAAAATTAAAGTTCTTAGAAAACTCTCAAAAAAAAATAGGGCAGGAATGATTAAAATACTCTGTTATATAATAGTAATAAAATATAACTCTAAAAAGAGACTCCATCATGCCCTGCACCTTAGCATGCTTTTTCTATAAAAAAAAAACCTCTATTGGATACAATGAAGTTTCTTCGAGAATTCTAAGATGTGCGATCAAAGAAGCATAAGCCGAGAAAAATCGAAAAAGATTTTTCTAAAAACAGCATATTTTTCAAGTAGTAGGTGGCGAGAAAATCATCAAAAATTTTTTTGAAAAAACAATATACCAAATAAAAAACTGACTTTTTTTCGAGGGATAGGATCCTTAACGATGAACTGCAATCTATAACGGTCGCTAAACATTGAGCTTCACTATTTCGATTTAATGAGCTGTAATTTGTAAAGTACCCTAAACTTCTGATTTTTTTCTTACTGAATCTCACTGTTGTACCAAGAAGTTCTAGGTGTGGACGTGGGGTGTGGGTGTCGGTACATGACAGGACGAGTTCTGAAAATTAAAGCTTTCCTCCAGCACTGAAGAATGTATTGTAGTACATTAGAATACATGAAAGTGTATGAGAGTACCTGACGTTACAAATCCTCAAATTCTAAGTTTGGGGGGGGGGGGGTTCATATTCTTTCCAGAGTACAATTTGTACTTGTATTCGCGCAGCCCTCAAAATATATAACAAAATTAATATAAAATCGAGTAAAATAGAATAAATGAGAGAAAATTATATTAAATATTGAATAAATGTTGATATTTCAGTCAGAATTGACCTTCTTCAGAACTTTGCTTTGATGATAGTAGTATGGAAAGGACAAGACGATTATACTGATAGATGGTGACACCTATGGTTCCTGGACCGTGGTGGCGTAGCCAAGGGTACGACCGTCAGGCAATTTCTCATGGATTTCTTTTAAAATAATATCAATTGTCGAATGCCAAAAAATCCTGATACACATACATGTGCAAAGATTGAACTCGTGTCGTTTTAATGCATTGTATCTTGTTGTGAATTAATCAAGTGATCTCGAAAGATTAACTGACTTTATTTTCCATTAAACCGATGATCACAATGATGATTATTCAATTTTTTTTTCAAAATACTCATTATTTCACTTGAATTTGTTAATGATTCTATTTATGCTTATGTATGCTATTTGACATAAAGGGAGTGATCGAAAAGTTTCGACTCATTTCAGTAAATCGATGATATCTTTGAAAAAATCTATATATGGCTAATTGACTGAAATATGTAGTTTTGTAGAGAAAGATTAGAACTATCATTCTGCAAGAAAAAAGATACTTCAAAATGAATAAATATAATGTAATATTTTGATTATTTTAATAATCTTAAATAAATATTTTCGTTTTATATTTTTTGAGAAAAGTTTTTATAATAGTGGTATGTTTTTTTGCTTATAGAGATTTTTCTTTTATCAAATTTATCATTTCAATTGAATAATATTCGTCATATTCACTGATTATGATTACAGTTTTATAACACCTCATATTATTAAAAGATTTCACATCCACAGTCTTTTTTTTAATAAAGTTTACTATTTTCAATTTATTCTCTAATATATCAGTTACTGAGATCTATCTTTTCGATAGTTTTATTAAAAAACTTCCAAGATTCATTTCAAAGCTAAATAGATAAGATATGACTAAGAGAAAATTTGTGAGGAATCATTCGACAAAATTTAAAGATGTCAAAAAAAATATATTATTGATATATGAAAGAAAATTTAGTGTAGAAAAATATGAGAAAATGATTAACAATATTTCAAAAAAAAGGTTAAAAGCAATCGTTCGAAAACAAGAACGACGCAGGATATCATATTGCACTACATATATACATTTCGAAGTATCTCTTTTTCAAATGATGACTGTAGTCTTCCTCTACAAACTTATATATTTCGATCGATTAACCATATATAGGTTTGTCAAAGATATCATTGTTTTACAGAAAAGGATAAAAACTTTTCGACTACCTTTTATTATATACAAATATCTGAAAGTTGAACCGTATATTCGTGAAACAGTAGAAAAAAAAAGCGAACGAACTTGTCTTCAATAAACATCGGTTTTTGTGATAGCAGCGAGTATTAAAAAAAATGATAACCCAATTGATCTTTAGTTGTCCATTGCTCCCACTTCTCAAAATAATTTAGCTGGGAAAACGACCCATGAATTAACAATTCCTAGCTGTCTCACTAATTGAAAATATCTGGAAAAGTGATCAAGAGTATCATCAGAGAGAAAAAAAAAATGATTGATGGTTCCTCGACATTCCACTTTGAGAACAGTCCACAATATGTGTTTTTCGTTCGAGAAAACGAAATCAAATAGATTCAAACTAAAAAATTCTCAAATAATTTCATATGAAGTCAACCTGTCATAGCTTTTTCTTAGGATATTTTCTCGTCAGTCACTGAGTGAATCAGATGCGAAAATAATAAGTCTATTAATAACTTTACTCATATAACACTTAAGTGGTTACTTCTGTTTGCATTTAAAAAAAATCCCCACAAGCAACCAACGAACGGAAGTAGTTTATTGACTAAGTAATAGCAATTGTTTTTACCAACTTTCAAAGAAACAGAACAAAATAAAGATTTCGATGAAGCAATTTTGAATCGATGTATGTTGACAGCGGTAGCATAGTTTTATGCCGTTGCTGTGAAGAGTAACGGGTAATCAGATGAGTGAAAGGTTTCAGGAAGAAAAAAAAAATGCTAAATCATGTTATTGTCACTATTGGAGGTGAATTCTTCTTTAACATTTTATGACAACAATCAGACATACGTATAAAATTACATACTCTAACACGCACAACCTGCAAGAACAAAAAAATGTACATATAGGTATATGTGAATTATACAATTTCATAGCAGAAGGATGAACGCATTGAAGATATCATGTCGACTTGAGCAAAAATATAAATGTTTGATTGACGTTGCAAAAACAATGCGCCGAATGTGTATTCAACACGATTTCGGTAATTTCCAAAATTTCCACTAATTTATGAGGTAGGGTTCTCGTTTTATCATATGAACATATATATTTGAAAAATATATCTAAGGAAGTTTCGAAAATGACCAAAATTTCCTGCTAATTTTCCGTAAGTTACTGGTTATTATTTTTGATGGATTATGATGCTACGATGGAAATTTCCATTGATGGAAAAATTTACTTTTTTAAGGCCTCCTCCCCCCACTCAAAAAAGTCAATTTTTGAAATTGAGATAAATGCATGGGAAGATAGCTCGTCTTCAGATCTTTCAGACATGATATAATTTTTTACCCGACATCCCTGTTTTTGGCAAAATTTTCGATGATTTTCGGTAACCACTCCTTGAAAAATATGCCTATTTTGAAAAAAACGAGAAGTGTTTTTCGTTTTTTCTCAGTTTTTTCTTTCTTGACCGCGCAACCCAAATTTTTCGGTCCAGGCTCATATGATATATTTAAATTTTTTTCTTGTTTGAAAGAGCACGTCAAGGTGCAGGGTACCACAGAGTCCTTTTTTAAATTAACCTTTGTTTTTTTTATTATATACACAAGCACCTATGCAAATTGACGTCTATTTTTAGCAGATTCTTTGAGTCATTGAACTCGTGATTCCTTTTCTCCGCTTAAAAAGTAATAATTTAAATAAAAAGGACTCTGTGGTGCCCTGCATCCTGACATGCTCTTTCAAACAAAACAAAAAAATTAAATATATTGAAAGAGCCCGGACAGAGAAAAATGGGTTGTCAAATGACCTATTTTTTGACCCTTGTTTGGTTCATATCTCAGTCAAACACCGTGATATAGGACTGAAAATTTCATGCGATTTGAATGCGGTTAACCTGGAAATCGATTTTTGAGGGGTGAGGGCCTTAAGAAATCTGAACATACCCCGTAAGCAGTGTTGTCACCTTTTGAAGTCCGAAAAGCAGAAAACAACAGAAGTTTTATCATCGAAAAACAGAAAAACATCAGAAAATATGTTTATGATATGAAAATAACAAGTAGCTCGTAATAATTGAGGGTTCCAGTATTTTGGTAACATCTTAAGCGTTATCTTATCGCTCACGCCTTATTTTTTTTATCAAAAGATTCACCGTTTTCTTCTGCTCAAATTGCATATTTCGTTGTAAAAATACTTATCTCCTTCTCTTTTGACATCACCACGATATAAAACGAGCACCACACACAACTTTCAAAATCTCTATTTTTTTCAATTTTTTCCGAAAACATCCAGTCCTTAGATTAATCTTATTATCATAGGTCGTGCCATATTCTTTATCCAGAAATAAAATAAATTGCCTTCGGTACGTTGTTTTAAATCATGATGATGTTGAAAGAGAGATAAGGGTAACGGTTAAGATGTTAACAAAATACTGAGATCCTCTTTTATTACGAGCTACCTGTTAGTTTTAAATTTTAGTTTCAGTATACTAATCATTCGTATTGTATGGCATCACAAAACGCAACTAATTAACAAATAGACAGAATCATTGAACATGTTTTCTTTTTAAGGAGTATTCTTCATCTGATTTAAGAGCTTTTAACAAATCTTTTTTACCTAATAGATATTTATCCATTACAGTATATGATAAGGAGAAATTCAAAATAATTGTTGATTAAATCATAGCATTTAAAATTTTTTTGTTTCTTATTGTTCATAGGATAAGCAATATTAGCTTTTTATTAGCAATGTTCGGAAAATTGTTGATGACGAACGATAAATGTTAGTTGAGATGGATCAAATTTATATTCTTTTAAAGATTATCAATATTCGACGGCTTTGAACCGTTCTCTGTTGAAGATAACTCTATTCAATTTCTGTTGTATGGTTTAGCTCCTGATGACATAATTATTATTTCAGCAACTCCCATTGCTTTGTGAATATCTTCTTTGCTAGTCGAGCTGCCATTAACATCTAGAGGTGTTTTTTCTATTTTTTTTTCTCTCACTGATCATATTAATTATTCATGTTCATTGAGTAAACAAACGAAAGAATGTATATGTTGATGTATATGAATTACATGAGTAATTAAAATGCTATAGAAAGTCATAGGTAAAGAATTGATTTAAAGCCAAATATGTAGGTTGATAGTTGTTTGTGGTCAGTAGAAAATAAAAATCATCTGTATCAAACAGAAAGAATTAGAATGGTACAAAAATATTAGTAGTTTTTAATACAGTTTTTTTTTAATAATTATGGAAACGAAGGTATTTCAGGTGAAAAATGTTGATTGAAATGATAAATAACGCCGTATCAAAAAAAGCAGAAGAGGTGGCAGCTCTGCTCGTAAGATAGACATTATTTTGTGAATTTATTGACATGATAATTCTGATAGTCGATTTTCTATGGAACAACAATAGCTAATTGCGTCATTCATCGTAATGATTTGAAAAAGAAAGAATCGTATTTACAAAACTATTCTCATTAAAAGATTGGCTCTCATAAAATAAATTTTATGTAAATAGTACCTTTTAGATAAATAGTTTCAATCTTTTTTTCTTTTCGATTTGTGCCTTGAAAATGTTAAATACAATCGTATGGTGTCGATTTTATTCGATATTAATTATGTTTATTACGTACCGTGAAATCATTGCTGCGCTATCGACAAGTCCCAGTGAGAACATTGGTTCACATAAAATTGAAGGACAAATTCTTTTCCAACCTAATGATAAAGCTCTTGATGATATGCGTATACTGGTTAACGAAGGTGAATATATAGGTATCCCTCGAGTTGATGGAACTTTTGTCATATCTGGTAGGTTTTCTTATACGAGAAAATATAACTTCTTCGATTTACTCTTCTTGTTTGTTAGGTATACCGAGTGGCTCATATGTTGTTTCGATTAGTTCACCACGACACGTTTTCGAGCCAGTACGTGTTGATATAAATACTAATGGAAAAATTCGTGCACGTAAAGTTAACTTTGTTCAACCAAATGAAGTTGTTGTAGTAAAATATCCGCTTCGTTTCAATGCATATGTCAAGCCGAATTATTTTAAAACACGTGAAGTCTACCGTTGGACTGATATTATTTTCAACCCAACGTTTGCTCCAATAATCTTACTAACGGTTTTATTTCTTTTTGTACCCAAATTTCTCCCACAAGAAACAGAGATGCGACAGATGTTTCCAGGAACAAATGATATTATGCAACCAAATATGAATATACCCGATATTGCCGCTCTGTTTGCTCAATGGTTCGGTGGACCCAGACGAATACGACAAACAAGTCAACAGTCGATTTCCGACGATAAAACAGATTCTGATGACATACGACGACAGAAAAAAAACAAAAAAGCATTAAAGGGAAAGAACTGAACTTTTTTGTAAACTTACATGTGTTTCTCTTTGCTATTCACTTCTTTTCGATACTCATGTCGAACTAAAACTGTAAACAGCTTTCTTTGTTTTGTGGAATTCATATATAATTATTTTCGAAGAAAATAATAATTGTAAGTTTTAAGTCAAAGTTTTGAGGCTCCTAATCCCTCCCTCTCCATTACAGACCTTAGTAACTGGGATTAAATGTCATTGAGTACGCTTCTATAGCAATCGAGAACAACGAACATCAGAATGATTTACAATAATTTCTTAGCAACGAAAAAGAAGGTGCTGAATGACATTAATATCAATACTGAGAAGGTTCTAATTAGAACATTTCAGAGACTTCCTAGAAATTAAAATGACTGGAATATGATTTTCAACACTCTAAATAACACAGTTTCTGAGTTTTATGCAGATAAACAATTGTATGATAGATATCAAGGATAATGTTTTGATTTCCCGCAACTATCATATGATATTGACACGAAAGTATGAACTCATTAAGTTCTAACTTTTGAAGATAATCAATATCAGTCTGTCTGAGTTCATTGAGATACATAATAGATAGTGAACATCTGTTGTAGAAATAATGAATGTGTACAACAGGCTTATTGTCCCACTAAATTAATGGCAAGGCTAATAATAATAAATATGAAACAAATAGCAACAAGGCAAATGAAAGACAAGAGCGCCAGTCAAAAAAAGTCAAGCAACAAAATTACAATCCTAAATAGAGAAATAATAAAGACAGAATATTTGCTGACAATTGATTATCGTTGAAAAGGAACTATCGTCTTTTAGACATTTTACATTTTGCATATTTTGTATTAGTATAATGAAATAAAAGAAGACATGTAAATTCCACATTTCAGTCCCAAGGAAGCAGCGCTAACAAGACTTTTAAAAAACCTTTGTTCTCATACAATAAGCGAAATACGATAGAGTGCATATTGACTAAATAGTAGAGTTATTTCCATATCGATTTGTATCATAAAATTGATCATAGTTCTGAGTGGCTAATATAGAGTATTGTCAATTTTATTTTTATAAGCTCCTCAATGATTGTTCGTCTTCATAATTATTGATCAATCACGAAATCTGTAACTGAGAAGTGTACTATTTAGCAGCCACTATGAGAACAAGACTGACGAGTGTTTGCTGTATAGATTGTTGAAAAAGGAAACATGAAGGTGGGTGTGGGTGTGACAGTGGATGAATGTGATGTGATGGTGTGGGTAATGGAAGTGAGCAATCCAAACGCAATAATCATACCAACAACTTTGCGTGAAGGTAGTGTGGAAGCCGTGTTGAAAAAGAAGTAAAAGGAAATCAATGACTAGTGGAGCGAACAATCTGTACTAATTGCTCTCATTGTTTCCTCCCCCTTCCTCCCCAGGTAGTGGTAAATCAACATTTATTTCTCGTGTACTCGATAAACTACCTAACGATCCTATTGAACCAGCTGTTGGTAATAGGATTAAAGAATGTACAAAAATCAGTAAAGAATATTTTCAACAAGACATCAATCTCGTCTACGTCAATTAACTTAGAATTGGTAGCACAAAATGTGTGAATGTAGATAGGAGGGTTGAGAATGCGTTGTATATAGCTTCTCATCGAATTGCGTGAAAGCTTTGATATTTTTGACTAAGAATTTTTCAGACGTAGAACTGTGGAGTAATGATACTAAATCACAATTAGAAATTTTGCCAAATTGGAAAAGAGTCGTGGTTTTGTGAGTTTCCTTTAGCATACTGGATATGCGAAATCTATTTTAGAAGTTTGGTTAAAAGTTACATGAATAAAAGAACAGTCATCGATAATTGATAAAGTCTATCAGCGTGATTTTCATCAACAGAGACTTTTTTGGTTGGAAATTTCTAACTTGTATAAACAGTACACGTGTCAAACTACCGTCACAGTCTGGTGAACATGTTCATTATAATGAATTGATTGCATCTCACCTTTTCGTCTAAATGACACCAGTTAGTGTAGCTGCACAATTAGTAGTTTCAATTAATAGGAGAAATTGCATCATTGAAAATTTCCAACTTGCACGAACTGTACACATGTCTCATTTAAACAAGAACAAATAAGTCTACTAAAATCGATCAATCATTTTTCATTTGAACTCTTTTTATGATTTTTCTGCTCTAAATACGAAAAGAGCTGGGTCAATATCGAACATGCAGTCAAGTTTTCTTTAAAAAACACCATCGTCATCAATCGATCATTTCGGAAAGAAATGAAATTGATTGACAAAAATATGTACATGTGATGATATGTGTTATTTGTTTAAGAAATTCGAATAACTTTTCTAAGTAGTATGATGAATAAAAATTTAACTAACTTTTCTTACTTTTTAAAAAAACAGAGTTAACGATGTGGAATGAGTCTTCGATTATTTAAACTTTAGTCGAAAGTAAAAATGAGGCGAGGACTTCTGAATATTTTCTCGCTTAGAAAATTTAAAAAAATCAAACCGTTATTTTCCAATAAAGCGTTTATTATTAAAAAAAAGAAAGGATGAAAGATAAGCTAAAAACCTTTGAAATATTAGTTTATCAATCTTAAATAATGTTCTTATTGGAAAATCACAACTTTTATTTTTGCTACAATTAAAAATAAACCATTGAAGAAATTAGATGATGAAATGAAACTAGATGGTATTCGAGTTTCGACTCGAATACGAAATGCGGTGCGAAGCACGAATCGAGAGAATCGAGAAAACGAGCTTCGAATCGAATACGAATAATCGCTCTAAATAACCATAATAATTTGCTCTCGCCTTGTGGAGTCTAACTTCTACAACACTTGAAAATGTTTCTGAGTCATTTTTGAATCGACAAAGAAAGATTTTTATCAAACAACTGATCTAATTTAGATGCAACATATAAAGCAACCATTCTAAAATTCATCACTACAGGAACTCTATCAAGGCGTATTGATAGATTTTTCGAACTCACTGTTCATTGATCGATTAATTATCTCAATGATTCATTATCTACTTTCAGCTGTATTCACAGCTGTTTGATATATGACTAAAGAAATTGGCGCCTAACATTGTTTTTGAATTTTCGTTTTAATTATCTCAAAGATAAACTCTGTCAAAATTGCGTTTTTGGAGCGCCGATTGTAGACGAACTATTGGTTCTATAGACGGTTCGACTAAAAATGGTATTATTTCAATCTCGATACTCGGGCCTCGTGTTTGAACCAATATTTTCTGACTTTCCGTTCTCGAGATCATTCGAACAGAAAATGACAACTTTTATGCGTACGTCGAGTAAGTAAAAGAAAAAAAAAAAAAAAGAAAAAAAAACTAGATGGTATTCGAGTTTCGACTCGAATACGAAATGCCCTGCGAAGCACGAATCTTTCGAATTTTCGAAAAAAGGATATTTGTCAAAAAACGAGACTTCGATTTTCTAAACTATATTGATCGCTATTTTGACTTAAATTAGCTACTGACTCTTTTAGATAGACACTTTTCTTCATCTTCACCAAACAGATGATCTCATGTGAACATGGAATGAAAGCCGTCCATTATAAAATTCATCACTACAGAAACTCTACGAAAACGTATCGATAGATTGCTATGAGTTGTTTTCTATTGATCAATTAATTATCTCAGTGATTAATTATCTACTATCAGCTGTAATTCGCAGCTGTTTGATATATAGCTAATGAAATTAGCGCCTAACTTTTCTTTTGAATTTTCATTTTAATTATCTCAAAAGTCAACTTTGTCAAAATCGTGATTTTGGAGCTCGGATTATAGACGAACTATAGGTTCTATCGATCATCTGACAAAAACAGGTACGAGTTCGATCTTGATACTTGCACTTCGCGTTCCAACGAGTATTTTCTGACTTTCCCTTCTCGAGATCATTCGAACAGAAAATGACGATTTTTTTGCGTACGTCGAGAAAGTAAAATAAAAAAAAAAAAAAAACTCGCGAAGGACTACATAAATGCTGTGCTTCGCACCGCATTAATAATTATTATAACAGTTATACAGCATTCTTATTTGACTTTGAATGATATTGCTAGTTTGCTTTTCTGTTTTGATGCATTAAAAGATCATTTAAATACAGTATTCGTGTGCATAGGCGCGTGGATATTTTCTCTTCAATCATATATCTGCATCCGTATACATACTCATTAGGTGATATTGATCGTGTAATAATTATATTTTTATTCAATACTTTTCAAAACAGTCTTACTTTGATAATTTTACTCTTTATTCTTATAAAGTTTTTTTTGACATTTTTACTGTTCACATTTCTACATTCGCTCAAAGTTGAATTTTTGCTAAGTCTTCTCTTCGATAACATCCAGATGCAGATCTACATCCTAGAAGGAATTTGTTTGTGTGTCAATGTAATTCCATATTGTTTTGTTAGAAATCACTTTCTTGCACGATATCAAATGTTCATCGAAGTCGTGACACTGAAAAAATACTATTTTAAAACAAGCGAAATCCTTTGTCTTGTGTTTTATTCATTCGAAAGTGGCTCGTGCGAACTAATGAATAGAACATATTTATTAATCAGTCATTTCCTTCGATCATCACGGGCAATTTGTATTTTCTCATATTTTTTTTCTAAATAAGAAGCCAAAGAAAAAAAAGAAAAGAATAATTGCTTGAAAGAAAATCTAAAGTATAAACTCACTTCAAGTTCGCATAAACGTCGGTTTTTTTCATCAAGTTGTTGTTGTAATGATTGTACCTTGCGATTGATAAAAGAATGACTACTATGTGGATCCATTTGACGTATGATCATCTTAGCCTTTTCTAAATATTGAAGATAATATTTTTCTAAAGCATCGATTTCTTCAGCTTTCTTCATTAGCAATGCATCCTTTTCTGTCAGTTGTTGTTCTATAAAAATCAAGAAAATAAATTGATAGAAGAAATTAATAGTCTCCTCAATAGCGAACCGATCATTTCTAATTTTTGTTTTAATTCATTTATTTGACTTTGCATTCGAATAGATTCCTGTTCATACTGAGACATAGCATAATTGAGCGATTTTTTCAAATCGGCCACTTCAGTACTGTTATCCACAAGTGTCGTTGTATCTTTGAGTGTTGCATTCAATTCGAGAATTTTTTGATTTGCCATCCTGAAGGTCAACGAAAAGAAAAACATGTATAATCGTACTAAGATGAAACAATTTGTCTACCATAAATCATTGGTTAATTGATTATTTTGATCTTTGAGTTGTTGATAATCGGCTTCAAGTAGTAAGATCTGTTCGCTATGATTTTCTTCCTGTAGTGAATGAATAAGATGTTTCCTAAAACAATCAAGTTTTCTTTTGGTTCGTTCGAGTATAACAAATTCATACGGTTTTCTCTGAATTAACCTGACATCGGCAGGTGAATTCAAATTTTTGAGATCTTCAAGTGATACAGTAAATTGATCTTGTGAATTTGTTTGAACAACATCTAAATGAATCGATCGATCATCTATACAATCGTTACTACATTTAATATTACCATCATCAAAACTAATAATACGTAAGTTTTTATTTGCTTTTCGCAACAATTTAATTTCATTCATTAGACTCTAAACAAAATTATTTTAGTAATTCATTCTCATATTTTCTTTTATTCATGCATCTAAAAACCTCTTTCTCTGCAGTAACTAGATCGAGAAGTTCTGCTGCATGTCTTCGTTCAAGTACGATATTATCAACCGTAATTTGTATTTCACTAATTTTCTGATTCAATGTCTGATTGATTTTTTTATGAAATTCGATTTGAGTTTGTAATAATTTTGTCTGTTTATATTCATGTTCGAGATTTGATTTTTCATCCATTAGACGGAAATTGGTTTCTTCGAGATATTTCGCTTGTTTTTGTAAATCAATCATATCCTCTAATCTTGTCTTGTATGCATCAATAGTCGATTCTAGTTCAGTCTATAATGATTAATACACTAATTACTGTACCACTCGAGTGTTAGAATCACATACCATTTTCTCACATTTGCTCTTCAGAATATCATTTTCGTTTGTGATATTGCGCGCATAAGTCACCAGAACAGTGAGATCGTCATTCTAGAAGTGACAATCCGCTATATAGTGTTTCGAATCGAATTATTCGTTATGAATCTACTTTTTTGAAAAGTTCTTTATTTTCATCATGTAAAATGTCTAATTTCGCTCGATAGTCTTGTAGAGCTATGAGAGAAAGAAACAATAAAAAGAAAAAAAAAACTACCTTGAAACGATCGAATGTACTTATTTCGAGTTCAGATATTTCATCTTGTTGTGATTGAATACGTTGTTGTTGTAAATTATTGAAACAAATATATGATGCCTCTCTGAAATACAAGAAAAAACTATTGACATTGACGCCCGATCATTTTTTTTAGCATCATCGTACTCAGCATTTTTGGCTCTTTCATATTGTTGAATACGTTCATTTAGACATGTTACTTCTTGTATTAAATCCAAATTATCATTTTGAAGTACAGCAATCTGAATATGACATAGTAATAATCGATACATGATCAGATATCAAACCTGTCGATCCAGTTCATGACAATGATTTTCGATTTCATCTTTGACTTTGATTGTATGATTGAGTTCTTCCAAAACGTGTTTCAACTAAAAATTATATACAAGAATAATGATTGGGTTCGTTACATTCGATCATCTACTTGATCTTCAAGTTCTGGATGTCTCTCCTTGGTCATTTGATACTCTTGATTCATTAGCTATTGCATAGAAAGAATATCAAAGCATATGTTCAAGATCAACAATGGCACGTACAAACCTCTTGAATAGCATTCATGAGTATATGTTGGACAGATTCTTCCATGGATCTAATATGTTCTATATAACATCGTTTTCGTTCACAATTGACAGCACAACCCAGAACAAGTTGTAACAGTCGACTGAGTTCTACTTCATCTGCACTTTCAGCTATAGAGAAAAAAAAATCAAGGATTTTTGAATCCTTGTCGATTTCTTTGAGAATATTACCGATCATATACACATCGGGCATTTGAAAGTTTACTATTGGCTGACCGAGTATCTAAATGAACAGATATTATTCTGCACAGATTTGTGAGAATAAGTTGAAATTCACCTTGAAATAGTAGATGGTGATATATTTCAATATTTCCTTCAAATTGTTTGCCTAAATCAGTTTACTTATTGGTTTTGATTATTTCATTAGAACGGAATCTACCTTAATTCGATAATTATCTTTTTCATTAATAGTGATCTTTTGTAGCCATGTATCATTGAAATGATTGGCATCTCTACCAAATCAATAATTAATAGAAATAAAAATGAATTGAATTGATCGATTACTGACATATTTTTGAGTGACATTGCAATAATAACACCATTAGATAGATCATCGGCTTCATTGATCGGTCGATTCAAATCGAATGTTTTCATCTGTAATGAATAACAGTAAAAATTCGTATGAAAGTATATTAATTTCATTCTATTGAATAGTATAAATTCACATACCCATTGGATTAGACTATCGCATAGAACGCGTCGATTCATCTTCTTGAAGATGAACAGAAAAAAAATTGATCTGAAGATAATTTAAAAAAATTTTATACGTCTTGTCTAAGAATAGACACATATGTATTTTGTTGGAGAAAAAAAGAACGAAAACATGTATAGTAAGTTAACTAAGTACGACGAGAAATTTGATTATGTTTGTAGGATCATTTGGTATTCATTTTATGTTGGTTCTCGTTCAACAATACTAAAACATGCAAAAGACAATGATGCATTCTGATTTGAAAGGAGATATATAGAAAAAAATAATAAGCAAATTTACTATTGATGATGTGACTAACAGAGAAAGTTAATGATCTCATATTTTGAAGTTGAATGAAATTAACGATTGACTTCAGTTCAGAGTACGAATTTGAGTCAAATATAGGCTTAGATTGATCATAGATTGTTTGAGTATTGCAATACTTTAAAAAAAAATGATGGAGAAAATCAAAGAGAAGAGTGCGAAGATGCGCTTTCATAATTGCTTAATGAATCAACGATCAAATGATTTCGTCTCGTATAGAAATTCTGTTAGAATGTACCGATCAGACGTTAAAAATTTCTTTATTAACAACAATTTTCATTAATATCGGTGTTCGTATTCCCGCACTGAAGTGCATCGACAACATTACGATACTACTGTTAACTCGAATTGAATCAGAATCATTTCGTTTTGAATATAGGATTATTTTGCGATTGAAGAAAGTTGAAAAAATGTCAAATATTAATTGTCAACAAAAAAAGCATCATCCACCGAATGCTTGTTCAATTTTTTTCTGAGTAAATAAAAGTTTTGACTCAAATATACATTGCACTAATACATTGTCTTTTCTTTGAAAAAGTAGCAAGAGAAAATATGCGTAGCAGAAAAAAACGCGTTTATTTACTATGTTTCAATACTTTGTAAAATAAAAAGAGTACGAGTGTTACCTTTACCAAAGCATAACAAATGGATCTATTGTGTTCAACCATAGTGATTTTATGTTACATAACATTCATGAAATATATCAAATGAATAGTAATTGTTTTCATACAATCAATTGAGTGACACACTTTTTTCGGTAGAAAAACTGTAGAACCAAGAAAATAAGTTATATCCAGTCAAAAAGAGAAAGAAAGATATGTGTATGTTGTAATTCGTCTAAGCCATGGCATACTTGCACTACGAATTCTATTATATGCATCGTGAAGATGCAGCGAAAATACTTTGTTTCTATCTTATCTAGCAACATGTGGCAAAAAAACAAATATAAAAAGATTTCATAACAACAAGATAAAAGTATATGTTGTTACTGATTTCATACGACTATTTCATATAATATAGTTGATACTTTGAAAATGTCAAGAAACAATCTGCTATGTGTATACCTGTACTATAAAACCGATCGATCAACAGTCACAAAGCTAAGAAATGACGAAGCAAGTAAACTTATGAATGGCGATTCATGATTGCAATTAATTGTTGTTATGGCTGAAGACGATAACAAAAGTTTGATATATCGAACAAGAATGTGCAACAAAAATTTGCATGGTCCTGTGTCATCCACCGAGAGGGCTGCGCGAATACAAGTACAAATTGTACTCTGGAAAGAATATGACCGCCCTCCCCCTCCCCCCGAAACTTAGACTTTGAGGATTTGTAACGTCAGGCACTCTCATACACTCTCATGTATTCTAATGCACTGCAGTACATTCTTCAGTGCTGAAGGAAGGCTTTAATTTTCAGAACTCGTACTGTCATGTACTCTCATGTGTTGTCATGTACCAACATCCACACCCAGTACATGACAGTACATGGGAAGTGGTAATCTTTCCTGAGTACAAATTGTATTTGTATTCGTGCATCTCTACCACCGTCTTTCCATCCACACTTCCATTCATATCGACGCTCACATTCACATCAGCAGAATTGTATTTTTCTAACCAGCAAAGCTTTCTTTTTTTCTTTCTTCCTCTTGAAATGAAGGAAAAAAAACGTGACTATCGCATTTATGGATTTAATTAGTCAACCACCACTATAAGAAAAAACCCTATAAAAATTCATTGACTTGCGCAATAAATGCAACATCAAAGGTAATATATCGTTTCAGAGCGTCATTATTTCAAAGAATTCGAAAGATGAATCAATGTGCAAGGTATAATTCACTTGTTCTGTTCTTTTACCCAATAGATAAAACTTCAAGGAGTTTATGAAATTTCCATAAAAATATTTGGCAGTTTCCTAAAGACAGACTTACCGTATAAATTCAAACAGCAGTAATGGTTGCAAACTTACAAAATATCAAAAATCGATATAGAGAGAATGATGTCTATCCTTCAATGCGTCGGTTGTCGAGCGCAACCCAAAACGACTCGGTGTCCATCTTTAATGCCTTTGACACGACAACTAAATATGCTTAATCTTTCGAATAACGATCCAGCCAACGCCTCAGTCTATGCAATTAATGCCAAATCATACAAAACGAAACTTCAGCCTGATGGCAAAACAAAAGTACTCGATTCTCGATACGATACACAAGTCGATGATGTAGCCAGGTCATTGAAGAAAGATTTTCGAACGAAGCCAACACATGACGGTTACTTTTCAACCCAAGTGAAACCTGAAAAGACACAAAACATGGAGCAAACGAATCTTAACTTGACTGAATTAAGGACAACACTACATAGGCTCAAAAATCGATTGGCTCGACATGAAGGATATCTAAGAAATACTCCTGTGAATACTTCACAACACAATAAACTCCTGACACATCGAAGATTTTTGATACGACAACTTCGAGATGTTAGGAGAAAACTGACAAATACAATAAATTAATTATGCAAGCATGATCAGAATCAAGTGCATAAACGAATTTCTAATGATGGAATGCAGCCAAATCAGAAATGTTTTATTAAGTTCATTTTAGACTAGAAGTTATTACAATGTCTTCTTTCTATGAAAGCTCGTCACTTCTCCTTAAACTCGAAATTTCCACACTGTCAACGATGAAAGCATCAATCGTTTTTCTCAATTGTCTTGTTAACAGGAAGCATTATGGTTACCAAATGAATCTATCCAAACAAATTGAATCATCGATTTCAAGCGTGGCCATATTGATTCAGTGATTCACATCAGAAATAATCACACATTCATTTGTCATATAAAACTACAACACTGATTATGATTTCGTACCACTAGGCAATAATCACATGCATAATGATATAGAAGTCTGGCGAGAGATATAGATTGTTCATTAGAGTCGGATTTACCCAGTTTCATCAATCCTCTTCCTCCTTCTAAACTCTGATTATAAAAAAGAATAACTTTTTAAAAATAGCCCGGTTGTTCAAATGTATCGCTTCCTTTGTAATAAATAATAATTCATCAAATAAATATATATATGAAAAATAGAAATGAATATAAAAAATATAAATCACACATTTCATAAACAACAAACAAAAATATACTATACGGCATAATTGTTTTTTTAAATACATAGTATTTTAATGAGCAGAAATTAGTAAAAAGAAAAAATGAAGTTCAATACAAATAACATTCAAAAATCTAGCAGCATTCATATTACTGCTCGATAAAGTAATTAATTGTCCATGCAACAGCATAAACTTCAATTATTTCAATACGATATTCATGTTCAAGTGATTTATTCAATTTATTTCCTATTTAAAAATGCTTTTCAAAATCTCGCTGAAAGTTATGTGAAAAAAAGAAAAATACTTTTAGTAAATGTCTAGACATTCAGAAATGTTTGCTCCTTCTTCCCATACTTCTGTCTAAACTCATCCTGGTTTGACGCAACATACACCCCTTATTTATTATCTGCATGACCTTTATTGATCGTCCCTTTTTGATGGTCTCATGCTTCCTAGTTTGTATTTTCTTATCTGAATAATATTTGACATACTCCTCAATAGAGAGATCACAAACTCACAAGATTGTGGAAAAAATCAATGAAAATTCAAAAACTAATTTTTTTGTAATTTCGTCGAGTTGTGACATGGTTTTGTTTTTGCTTAAACAGATCAAAAGGGATCGTTTTTTGTTATATTGTCGCTGTATTAAGCGTGAAAAACTAGGTAGGAAAACGTATTTCGATTGCTTTTTTTTTCATCATGACGAACGGAACATCGAGAAGTATGGCTCAGAAAAATGTAAGAAACGTTGACAAATGAGGTTTTGTAGAGTAAAGTTCACTCTACAAAATTTGATATGTCACTTTTTTCGGGTCCACTTATGAAGGTTAATTCGTGGTCGAAAAAAATGGCAACTATCATAATAGACCAAACGTGATTACTCTTGAGTCACTCTAATTGAAAATATGGGGAAAAAAAATGAAAGTCGTGAGAAGAATACGATTTTCTGTTAGAAATTTGTTTCAAATTCAAACTACATAAAGCAGAAAACAAATCTACATAGTACGAACTTAGTGATTTGTAGAAGCCGATTTCTGCACCTTCAGAAATTACTTCTCATGTTGTGCACGAGCAATCCCTAGAAATGAATCGAAGAAGGGTGAAGCATTTGGAAAAAACGATTGTCAACTGTCTGAACGATACGAATCGGGAAAAGACACTGAAAAAGTGAAATTAGTCTGCAAGTTCTCTAACATGCCTATGAGATGACGTAGATGTTAGACAAAACTCAACTTTGTTGACTACTATAGTATATATGCATAAAGTATCCAGGGGTGGCCCGAGTCAACCAACATTGGGGGGGTGTCGCGAAATTTTTTGGAGTAAAAGGTGGAATTTTTTAATTTTGGGGGAGTGTAACATTATTTTTCATGACAAATGGAAGAAAATTTTTTGATTTTGCTGAGCAAAAAATAGAACTTTTCTAAGATTGGGGGGGTGTTCCACCCCCGACACCCCCCCGGTCGGGCCACCCCTGAAAGTATCTCTAAGTCTAGCTAGTTATCAGCGAGTTAAATCAAACGAGTGAAGGATGATTTAGATATAAGCTAAAGTCTCATTAAAACGCTATCAGATTTATAACCATAATAGCATTTTAACTTGTCTATTGATTCTGGAATTCAGTATACGGATCATTCAATAAAAATAATGACTAAAAATAGGCACAAAGGAGTCACTTTATAAATGGTCAAAATATTTTCTGCTGTGAAACCTAGAAGGACTTTCTATACGAAATCTCAAAGATATAGTTAAGATCAACGAAGCTTTATAAGTTTCGTGATGTACCTGTTTTTTTTCTTCAGTGTAAGTTGAGTCTTAATTATTGATCGTCTCGATCGGCAAACGTCCGATAAAGATCCTATCAGGAATCGTTCTCTATCCATGCAGATAGATGCATTCGATTAGACCTTTTTGTCGAACTCTAGCCCTCAAACAATTGGAAGAACACATCGTTCATGAATTTCTCTATTTCCATAAGAATATGGCGTCGTTTAACCAACATAGCTGCAAATAACTGACAAAGAATCAACTAGACAAACTTCTAGAGTAGAATTTTCTTTTGTTCAAAAATAGTATCAACAAAAAACAAACACGCTTTTACAATAAGGAATCTTTGATAGAATCAGAACTCATTTCTAGAAACCTTATTATCCTGTCAAGGTAAAATAAGAACTGTTGTTTAAAATTAATTCGATACAAGAAAATTTTCAATCATTTTAGTTTACAGAATAAATAGTTGCCTGCTCTTCCACAGTTCTACCTGTTTGAAAACATGTGTGTATTAGTAGATATTCAACATAGATCTATTCTATTTCTCACACAATGTTAATCATCCAGTTTATTCATGTAAAACATTTTATAAGTGAAAATAAATTAGAGAGGTTGTCTTCTTATTCTTTCTTGTGTTCGTTTGTACTGGAATCAACTTCTTCAGATGTGCTGGAAGATTTCCCATTCGAAGAAGAAGCTTTCTTCATTGGACATGCGATATTTTTCTCGTCGGGCCAGATTTGAGCCCGATTGACATTATTCTGCAGAACTTCAGGCCGACTATAATGTCCGGCTGAATCTATCCAAACTTTGACGATACCAAGTTGACTGAGGTCGATCTCGCCAATGACAAGTTTCTGCTCCAAACCTTTATGAGGTCCAGCGAGGTACATATTAAAAGGATGAATGATACTACTCAATCCTCCTCCGACTTTAACCAGTTCTTGTTTGCCTAATTTGGCTTCCATCCAGTCAAGACAGTACTGATCGATTGTGTTAGATGCGCAGATCACCCAACATTGACCAGTCAGTGCGTGATTCTTCATCATGGCATCGATCTAAATACAAACTACATAGATCGTATGAATTCGAAAACATCCATCTTAATATACCCATTTGAGGAAAAAATAAAATGACAGATGTCTAACTAAAAATGAATAAATGTGAATTGCTTGAGAGTCAAAAGACGATTGGAGTTTGCAATTTCATCTCACAGTTATAACCTCACATTGTTTTTTTTTGACCAAAGCTCGATGAGAATTCTCTTTTCTTGAACTTCATATTAAAGGACAAAGAGGGTGTTATTGTTCCAGCGATATCTTGTCTGAATTTCTCGAATTATTATCCTTGATTGTTTTTCTTTCTCAAACTGTCTCACAAATATTCGTGCTTTTACTCTTTTCGCATTTGAACAAAAGGAAAAATTCTTGTCAAGTACCATGGATAACATTCAAAAATTCATTATGAAAAAAAGAATAATTTCCAATTTTTGATTGTCATCGTTCAAAAATTTTTCAAATAAACTCGCAAGTTCACTTGTTTTGTAGAGTATTTTCTTGAGATACTCTCACTAGAGACATTATGACACTACCTGAATATCGGCTACAGCTTCAAATCCAGCCATAGTGCTCAAAGCAGGCCATGCACCTGCATGAATCTGTTCACCCTGTTGAATGAGTGCCTGTCGTGCACCGTTCATTGTGTTTTCCCAGCATGCTAATCCGCCAAGAATTCCACATTTCGATGGATAGCACCGCAATGTATAACCACCTCCATTAGCCCAAATGATTCTTTCAACATAGGTCGGTTGAAGTTTTCGATGAACTCCAAGTAGTGTTCCGTCAGATTCAATGAAGATTTGAGAATTAAAACACGTATGAGTACCTGACATTCGCTCAGAAACGCCCAGTATAATGCACACACCATAATCGCGACAAGCCGCTTGAATTTTACTGATTTCTGGTCCATCAATTTCAACAGATTGTTCGATGTATTCAGCAAGTACAGGTGGTTGTATCAAGGTTGGATAACATTCAATGAAATATGGATAACCGGGAATAAATGTTTCCGGGTAGACGAGGAGTTCAACCGATGCTTTCTTTGCATCTTTTATGTATTCAATTACTCTTTCAGTCGTTGCAACTTTGTTCATAAATACTGGCGCTGCATGAACAGCTGCTGCTTTGAAAACAGAAGACATTGGTATGAGGACGTTTTTTTTCTATGTTTGTTGATTATGTATGTGCACATGTTATGGCTCGTTCTCCTCTTCGCTCATATTCACATGGTTTAAGTGCAATAATTTAATAATGGACTAGATATATTAGCTTGTACGAACACCTGATTTTTGAATCATCTTGATCTTTATGTTGATTTTTTTGTGTTCTATTGGTTGTCATTTGCCTCTATTGCCTAATGACGCTACTCGTGTGCCAATAAATACGAGACACTCACATAGAGAATAAACGTGCCTCTATACTATCGATATATTCTTTGTAAACAATATGAATATTCGTCTTGCTCTCGATTATTCTCTTCTTCTATTCTCTAACGTTTTTTTTTCTTATTTTCCGTTCTATCGATGTACCTTCCTTCGTCTCTCCTGTATAATATTTTATTCACAGTTCTAGGCATAACTTCCTACTCCCTGGAGGGATAGTATGTCTCATGAACTTGGATTGATATTTTGGGTGCATGTCGATCATGATGAATCCTGATCGCAAGCATCAACCTGACATCCACCGGTTGAGATACACTAAAATTATGAGATAAATGATATCTGCATTTGTGATCATAATATCTCCGCTATTTTGGCATCTTTATTTTTGTTCGATCGATCATTCGAAAGCCTAATGTTGTAGCTATCTCCAGTCCAAGAAATAATAAGAATTTACTTTGAAATAATTAAGATATAGTCTTCGTACTGAAAACCTTTATCTGTACTGAAAGTTTGAGAACTATAGCTTCAAATGAAGTCGTGATAGAGCTATGACATGAGTTAATCATGGTACAGCTTGCCTATTTTTATTCCGATCGAAGCGAACGGCTCGCTTTTACCAGAGTCAGTATGAGTAACGCGAATTTCTTCAGAACAAATATGTCCGAAAGTCTATATCTTCTGACGACAATGACCAACCTTGTCTTGTCAAATGAAGAAAAATAAGAAATAACTAATGTTAGTATCAATGTCGATGATCATTCGATTGATTCATGGTTTGAAATAAATTTCAGTATAGAAGAATTTTTCGATGGCATGCTCGACAAAATCGTTCTGAATTTCTTGATAATGATACTATTGAAAAAAAAACATACGATCAATTCTTGTACGTGACAGTCACTTTATGAATTCAAGACGTTTTTTTATGTATTTGAATACAAACAATACTTCAAATATTTATTTGTCTTGTTAAAACCGACATTGTTTTCTACTTTCATTTGTAATAATCCATTGAGATATGCATCTAATTTTCTGAAACTCATCAGAATATCATAGGATCATGTTTTATGATTTTCAGTTGAAATAAATCAGAGAAGAATTTTATGTGATTGTGCCTGTTTTGAAGCGAAATTCGGTCAAATGCGGTCTCATGTGTGCATTATTGTTTTGCTTGAAAATAAAGTTCTTTTCTTACAGAAAATCTACAATATTTATATAGATACTCAGGATTTGGAGCACCACTAATTAAGCTTATGGTTAAATACGCTTAATTTTATCAGTCCATCCTTACAATTGGATTAGTTGTTGGATCAAATCTAAATAAAAAAAAATAGTGTCTGCTGAATTTTACGTGCTGAATGCTATCTATTTTAACTGTAAAGGCTATGTATTTATCGAAAGAAATCCGATAAATCTTCTCTATGATAAAGAATAAACTTTCACTTTATGTATACGTTTTCCATTAATCTTGGTCGGAGAGAGAAAAGGCTGATTTTTTTATTTTTATTTTTTTCAACTCAAAATCAAAAAAGTAAAGAAAATCTTATTTTAGCTGTTTCCTCATCCTACTTTTCGTAAATTACACCGGGTAAAAACAGCTTAACAAAACCGTTGATTAACCGCGGTTAACTGTCGGTTTTCAAAAAAAAAAGACGACATAGGTCCGGTGGTGGCTTATGGGAAATGACTAATATACGAAATTCAATTATAAGGCTTAAAATTGAGAAAATATATTCTTAGACTACTATATGAAAATCTAATATTTTGAGTATGTACCTAACTCGAGTCGGAAGACTCACTGATAAAAGATATGATTGTTCGTGGATGTTCACGTCTTTTATAAATACTCTGATTTTTTTGTGCTTCTATTTTTCTGATCTCCTACATCAGATCATTTACATAGTTTCAAAGCCTAAAACTAATCATCTTACACGACAAAACTGATTTTCATACCTGTTAAGAATTGTATCGAATTTTGAGTTTTTGTGTTTTTCAAACTAATGTCATGCACACTTATACAATAGTGATATATTTGGAAGCTTATTCGAAAACATAGTGACATGGCAATTTTTGTGGGTTTACTCCAACGTATTATCGGTATCAATTCTTTTCGCTGAAAAAAGCGCTGCCGATATCGACGACGCACAATGTCAATATGATTGTTTTTCTTTCTCATGTATGTTGGATACAATGAAACAGCGAAATAAGATTCTTGGATATTTCGATATTCTTTTCATAGTAACAAATATGGTTCCGTTAGGGAGACTCGAGTTGGCATATTCCGTTTTTTTCTGCGTTATTATTTTTTGTAGAAACTTCCAACATTTCATTAAATAGTCAGGTATATAAGTACTTGTTACATATCTGAATAATAATAAGCACAAGACCTGAAGTACTTTTTCTTTTTTTTGGTTCCTAACAGGTAAGAGAATATGGTTATCGACTAGACAAAGAGGAATATTCTTTATTTTTATGACGATTGTGTACATCACAAATTAGCTAAAGACAATGTCATGATGAGTTAAATGTCGATTCTAAAATTAACAAAACTCTACGATGATGATGTTTTGCATGTTTTATACGCACTAATCAATCACTTAATGAAAAATAAATCAATAGAATTTAATCGAGTTAACACAAATGAGGGCACATCAATTAGACTATTAAAATGATAATTTGTGACATTAGTCCTAGATTAGATATAATTTCCGAAGTTCGAATGACATTTTCTTGAACTCGATAAACAGCTTCCATCAAGTTAGACTTTCACCAAATCCGAATTGTTTGAGGATGTTTGAATTTGAGTGTAGTGCATGCCTACAACAAATAAAATAATAACAAACGAGTGGTGCACATACAAATGACTGTTTTTATTTTCAATGTTTTTAGATGCTAACAGATAGTTTTAAAAATCTCCTTTGGATTCATTTGATACAAAAAAAAAACTTCTAACTACTGACTTTGTTTTCGAGATGGAAATTTCTTGTTCGAGTTCAGCTGAAACAATAAAAATCTACTTGATCATTCATAATTGAAAAAATCCATGATTCATTTTTATCAGCAATTTTGTTAAAATTTCTATTATACCTTGATTATTTCCTTCTTTTTCCAAATAAGTGAAGTAAAAATGTTAGAAATATCATAGACACATGAAGCATTGAAATCCTTATCTATTGATGTAAAATATTTTACTTTTCCCATAGAACTTAATCAGCATGAACTTAGATAGAACATAAATGTTATCAGAAAAATCCACATGACACAATTGAATAACTGTTCATGATTTGAATAAGCTCAATATCAGACTTTAAAGTCGTCTGTAAATGCTGCAAAAACTAAAAATAAATGTGTTCATTTTCGTTTTGTCTATGCGTCCATTGTATGATCGATGAAACTTGAAATCTTGTGATAAAATCATCAGATAGCTATGTCTTTTCAATATACACGGAAAGGTGAATCGAGTTTCTCAGTTTCATTTTTTTGTGTTTTTTTTTTGTGTTCGGACTAATGCATTTGATTTTTCGATTCAAACACTATTTCAGAGTTGTTTTTTTTTAGGAATCTCTTCTTAAAATAAACAAACACAATCGTATACAATGCCAGTAAGTAGTACTGGACTGTTTAGCAATACTTCTTGTTTTTTTTAACTAATTCGATTTTATTCAATTAATAGAATCCTGATGATAATGATGACACTCCTATAAGTGTTGAAGCCCAAGACAATACTACTCGTCGTTGTTCTCGTCTTAAGTAAGCCATAAATATCAATTGTTAAGTTTACTTAATACATACTGTTGAGTATTTCAAAGGAAGCAATAGATAACGAGAGCGGCTAATTATTGTAAAACATTGAAGAATCTATCGAATAAATCTCGACATTGGATCATGATTTTAAAGACTTGAAGAAATGAATTATACTTGTTTGGTATTTTAATCATAGATTAATCACTGATTTTGTTGTGCATAGTCAATTATTACATTAAATTATTCTAAATAAAAGTTTGTTTGTAAAAATTATAAATGAACTCATCTTAGTGTCTATCATTAGCGGCCACATGTCATTGTATAAGACTCATAGGATGTTTGTTCAATATTTGCATCATATGAATAATTGAGATTCTCTTCAATATGAATATCTCAATAAAGAGACCATGAGTACAATAAAAAAACACAAACAGGAATTAATCGTATTTCATATTACCGATTCGTAGATTACTAAAATTAGTTTTAAATGTAGAACACATTTTTTCACAATGGAAGGCGTGATTGTAGATGTCGATAAAAAGAAGACACAAGCATTCACACTATTTGTTGTATGACCTATATTGTGTTATAATGATATCCGTGGGATGCGTTCCACAGCAGATCGTTCTTAATTTTCAATTGAATGCTTCATTCTTATCCATAAGTCAGGAAATCTATGTCTGGCAAAACGAGATAGATATTTGGATGTGGATTATGAGTGAATCGTATTCTATTGTACAATTGGGATGAACAGCATCGAAAAAACGAAATTGTTCACATGAAAAACCTAGCTGAATATTTTGACATAGCACCACTAGAAAAAACTTATTTTCACTATACTTTGCTCAAAAATAAGATCATTATTGCAATATCAAAAATTCATATAAATATATTCATGGTGTACGATCAAAATTTTCTTATAATAGAATAAATCGTGCATCAATTAATGCAACTCGATTAGAGATCTATCGAGTGATTTATTTTCGAACGTCGAAATAAATATAATCAAAGAAAAATGTTATGTCCAATATATTAGCGAAAAATTGATTATTTAGAAAGCAGAATACATTTTGTTTGTTGTTCTTTTTTGTCTATCCAGAAATATTTCGTTTTGGAACATGTACCATTAGATCGACCTATATGGGACATTTTGCATATGATTTGCCATTCAAAATATATTCAAGTCTCTAAATTCAAAATATGACGGGACAAAGTGAGTATATATGTGACTTTTCAAAACTTGTCCACCCGTACGTATTCAAGATCTTGATGCAATCAGAAATTTATGTTCAGAAAATATTGTTCCTACCGATCATCTTCATGGTAAAACCGTTCCAAGTTGACCGACATATTGCTGTCAAAAGAAAATCGTATTTTGAGATGACGGAACACAAAAAAAAAGACAAGGTGTCTGTCAAGTCGATATTTTGTGTATATTTATTAAAAACAGTTTTATTTTAAAGAAAACTAAAGTCAGATTCTGATTATCTGTACTTTTTTCTATCTAACTACTATGAAGAAAATTCGAATATATACTTTTCTTAATTGAAAAAATCTTTGTCTTCGTCGAGAGATATCACAATTTTTTGCACTTCCAACAAGCATAACCCGAGATCGGAATGGCATAGATTGCTGAGAATTTCAGAAGTGTGCGAAATCACTGAGAGGAGTGTTCTATGAAAGTTTCAAGTTACGCGAAGCTTCTGGACAAGAGATATTTGAGATTTAATACCGATGATGCAGTTATACAAATGCAATATGATTCATCCGTATATATTGAATCCAATACACGAATAAAAATTAAATTGTACTAAATATAAATATTTCCAGTAGAACAAAAACTCTGCAAACAATTAGTACTATATTTCATTTTTTAAAACAAAAACAGTTAATGAAATTAAATTCTGAAATGTTTCAAACTTTTTAACATTGATGAAAGTCTATGACTTCAAGTAAAATATATCGATTTTGATTATAAGTTTTTCGTAATATATGGAAAATCTGAAGTTTATCCTAAATTGTTTGAAGATATCTGAATCTAAACATTTCAATTTCGAAAAACAAAATTTTTTTTATGACTAAAAAGTTATTTTCGTGTGAAATTCAAAGACAATATTCGATCAATATTTTTCATCAATCATCATAAGTTTTAATAGTCATTTATGAATTATGATTATGACAAAGGGTGTGAAGTGTAAGTGTGGGTTTGGTTGGAGAGAGGGGTCGCATCTACACCTACACCTTCAATCCATTCCAAGGAACAATAACTGCACGAGCTTTCCATTTCAAACTATCTAAGTGATCGATCGATGAATAGGTATGTTGCAGATAAATACATGTTCCTTACCAATAAGACCAATGTCATAAATGGATTTATATACGTATCATCGATTTATTTATTCAAAAATGAACTATATGCTATCCATGCTGATCAACTTGAGAAAAAAAAATTCCTTTATTAATATTTGATAAAAGTCATATATGATCGACTAATAACTGATCAATTTGTCATATAAATCTCCCCAAGCATAATCCGGATCCCATTTTCTCTTCATTGCCTTATACCACTCAACATCATAGATACTAAACCATTGATCTCTTGAATAGTAAGAGTGTGCATACAGCATTTTTCGTCCACCTAATCTCATGGCTTCTTCTTCTAATGCTTTTGTCGCATGTCGAACACTACACGATCCTATTTGCCAATTAGATTGATGAGTCCACAGACCAAAATCGATGAATGATTGATCATCATTTCTATCATTTTTCCAAAAATGTGGACTCAATTTTTGTGATGTAAGTGTTGAACGAATCGGACAAAGCCAAATCGGTTCAAGAATACCGCCATCTTCCATAAAGAACGTTCCCGACTGTAAAAAAGTCAGAAATTCTTTAGCTTTCGATTTTGGAATGTAAATATCTTGAAAAAATAAAGTTTCAGCAATTGTTGACATTGGCGAAGCATGAAGACGTTTGTAGAGTGAAAATGTAGTAATAATAGGTGCAAGTAATGTTCTACTCAATATGTTATAACCTCCAAAAGGAAACAAATTTAATAAATTACGAATATAACGTGGATAACATTGAACTTTGTCTTGCAATGGATTTATTATATAACGACCCATCCAAAATGCACCACGATCATATCGAAATAAGTAATCTTTGAGCGGTACATATTCAGTGATCATTGTAAGATTACTTTTACTGTGAACTGCTTTAATATGTTGATAATACCATGGATTCCATGCTTTTGAAAATGTTTGTATTTTGGCTGTTTTTGGCAATTTTAACTTATCAATTCGTTCTCCTGTAATAATCACTGTATAATCTGAGAAAACAATCGCATCAACATAATCATGTTGAAGAAGTGATGTTAAATTTTCCATAGGTTGATTTGTTCGAAAATAATTACATCGTACGAAACAATCTGATTTCACCTCCAGAACATTCAATGTTGCTCGAATCAATAATCCAAATGTTCCACATGCACCTAATGCTCTATAGAATAGGTCAGAATTTTTCGTCGGACTACAAATTATGATTTGACCATTACTTAAGATATATGTTGCTTCTATTAATAGATCACCAAACTGTCCATAACGAAAACTCGAACTTTCAAGTCCTGCTCCAGCCAATATACCGCCAACTGTTAACCATTTAAATTCGGGAACAACAGCCGGAACTAAATTATATGGAAGTAGTGCATCGACTAGTTCCTCCATTGTCACACTGGGTTCACATGTAACAGTTTTCGACAATGTATCGATGGCGATTATTCGATTGGCTGGTCCTAGATTAATAAAATGTGAAGCTCTAGTTTTTGTCATAACGTCTTCTTTTATTAACGATAACGATGGATGACGTAGTGAATACGATGGTGAATTTCGTTCATTTCGAAGAATTTGAATCCGACTACCCTTTTGACGGTTTCCAATCGATTGAGTGAGATATTCAATATTGATGAAGTTTTCTTTATGACGTCGTCGTTTGACGTTTCCTAATAAATATTCATATAGCCATGAAATATATGTCCAGATAAACCATGTAATGTTTAAGTACCATTCGTGTATTGGAGATCCTTTCCACATTAATGTACCTGTATGTATAGTTAAGCATTCAATCTATAATTTCTCATAAATACGTTTTAACAGAGAGTTGGACACCAGAGATGTCCATCGCGGCTGAAAATCTGCCGCTGCCGCGCCGCGACGGTTTATAAAAAAAGTCGTCGCGGCGCTGCCGCGATGGTTTTCAAAAAAGTGTTTCGAATTTCACTACAGCAACTATATGGGACCAGAAATATTGGTACTAGTTCCTCAGATTCATTCAGTCTCAGAGTGTTTCCTTTGTAAACAATGAAATTCTATCAAATTCATGCAGTTTTCCAATGTCCTCGAAAAAAATTCTGTCGCTGTCGCCCCACTGCCGCGATGAATTTTTAAAAACTTTGCCGCTGCCGCGTCACTGCCGCGATGAGTTTTTGAGAAACCTGCCGCTGCCGCGTCACTGCCGCGATGAATTTTTGAGAAACCTGCCGCTGCCGCGCCGCCAACCGCGGCCGCGGCCGCGGCGCGGCAGCGGCAGCGGCGCGGCGGCGGCGCGATGGACATCTCTGTTGGACACTCGATTCATCGCTGACAAAAATGCTACGTTCCAGCGGAAAAATGGCAATAACGTCAAAAATGGTCGACTACTAAACACTGCGCACTACAAAAATGAATTGTAGTATTAATTTTATACGTATCTGTTAACTCATAGCTTCTAACTACAGAAACAATGAAAATCAATCAGAAAAATGCACAAAACTCTAAGAAAAAATGTATAAGGGAAAATGGAATAATTTCATAAGCATTAGAAAAATGACGTCTACTATTACTTTTATACAAATATGTTCACTCATAGCTTCTACGTGCCTGAAAATGAAAATCAATAAGAAAGATGAATAATACAATAAGAAAAATGTACAAAGAAAAATTGACTAATTTCATAAGCATTAGAAAAAAACATGTCTATTATTACGTGTATACGTATATATTGACTCATAGGTTCTAAGTGCAGGAATACGAAAATCGATAAGAAAAATGAATAATACTATAAGAAAAATGTACAAAGAAAAATGAACTAATTTCATAAGCATTAGAAAAATCATGTCTACTGTTACTCGTATACGTATATGTTGACTCATAGGTTCTAAGTGGAAGGATAATGATAATCAATAAGAAAAATGAATAATACTAAAAGAAAAATGTATAAGGAAAAATGGAGTAATTCGATAGGCATTAGAGAAATGATGTTGGGTATTGCTTTTATACGAATATGTTCAGTCATAGCTTCTACGTGCGAGGGTTTGCCAACGATTCGATAGGTATGAAAAATGTTAATTTTCACCGGAGTTTTGACGTCCAAGTGAAAAATGCTTCTCTAAATAAAGTCACAACACCAAAAATTTATCGAATAGTTAAAACTGCAATTTATATAGTACTAAAAAAAGCTATAGAAAAAATGACATCGACCAATGGAAATTGATTTCACCTATATAAAAACTTTCAAGGTAACTATTTTTTTACAAAGACACTTATTCATCGAAAAAATAAAAATTTACAGTAAAAATGATATCGAAAAATGAAAAAATAATTTCTCTATAAGAAAAATTCTTCGATACTGTGTTGTATCTCTATATTTAGATATAGATATAGTTATCTAGCGAAAAATGAATAGAATAGTGAGATACGAATGAAATGTGTACACATATTCTTATATGTATATGACGGACGTCCTATATAAACAGAATGGAAAGAAGATTCATTTTTTTGAACCGGATGGTTTTTTCCGCTTGAAAATGAGCATTTATCTCACCGATCGATTTGTTGTCCACTACTGTAAAAATCAGTGTAATAAATGTGCATAGAACGTATTTTTTCTTTCTGTTTGTATCTATGCACAATGTGTATTTACCTGTAATAATAGAGAACAGGCACACATCTATCATCCCAGTGTCATTTTCGCACTTTGCATGCTTAAAAAAGCCTTCTAACGTCCGTAAAATATTATCATGATTAAAAAGAGTCGTTTTCAATAGCACTGACCAATTTATTTGCATTTTTTGTCGTGTTTTAGTCACTCGATTATTCTGATATCCGTTGAACAAAATCGATCTATATAGATACGAATGAACCTTTATTGAAATAGATGTCTCCGGCTCCGTAGCGAGATAAGTTTGAAAGAAATTATTGATACAGTGATCTGAAAGAAAAAAAATTCGGCCAATAATAAAGTCAGACACGAATATTTACGTTCTCTACAAGAGAAGGTTGCAACTCGTTACGTATTTTTTGTAGGGCTTTCGTAAAGAATGGCCGATACGAAATCCCTGATTTAGTCAATTACAGAGGTTTCATAACCAAAAATCAGGACTATCGTAACGAATTTTACAGGGTGATCGTAACCGATGTTTTGATATGTACCATTTTATACCATCAACACCTCAATTGCAGCGGTTACATAATGAATTTTACAGCGTTGTGGCAACTGCTTACACAGGGTAATCGTACTATACTTTACCCAAAAATATGAGTGGCAATACAGAGCTATCGTAACCATTATTTACGGAACTATCACACTGTAAAAATAGTGTATGGATAGTTGTAGTTAGAGGGTTCACGTAACAAACAAATCAGGCTTTTTCACAAAAAGAATGTTGATATATATTTATTAAAAAATCCTTTATATTAGGAGACACTTTGTTCTTTTCTATGCTCAAATAGATAAATATGTATTCATTTTCGAAGGACATATTAGCTAGTGTTCATTTTCTTTCTTTTCTCGTTTTAATGTATTATTCAATACATGTCTCATTGCCTGTGCACTAGTCAAAAAAGATCATTTTCTATATTACTTTTTTTCTATAATTTCTTTGTTAAGTAAAGTAAGTTAAATAAGTTGAAGGCCTCAGTGTGTTCAACAAGTCTTCTTATACAGAGACAAGACGACTTGTTATGACATCTCTGATTTTTCGTTATGATGACTCTGCATATCTAACCCAAACACACTCTACTTTTATGGTACGACAGCCCTGATTTGATACTCTTACGTTCTTTGAAATATACCGTGAGAAATTCTATTTTAACTGTTACGATAGATCTGTACATTTCGTTACGAAACCCACGTAATTTCTTTACGTAAATGAAGCTTGGCTAACAAATACTTCATTAGGAAATCTCTGCTGCTTCGTTGCGAAAACTCTGCAATTGTTACGAACTCCCTGTAAAATTTGTTACGATTACTCTGTAAAATTCGTTACGACATCCCTGTTTTTTCGGCTACCACTATTTTCTGTGTTATGAAAGCCCTGCTTTTTTCGTTACGATAATCCTCCACGTAACGAGTTGCAACCCGCCCCTCTACAAGATACTCTAAAAGTCACTGCAGTTTTTTCTTGTTTTCATCTGTAATCTTTACTTGACACAATCACAAAGTTCTTTTGCAAAGCGTTTTCTACAAGGAATGTTCATAGAAATTTAATAAAAGACTTAGTTGAATTCGTTTTCTTATTTCCAGTGTATATATTCAAGTTTTCCAGAAAATTTGACATTGCATTCATATCTTTGGCATTCTACCTTTTGCATAAAGCTGAAGAGAAGAATATGGGAATGGTTAGGTTCCCAGGACGAGCATTACGACAGTCGTACACGATCGTATACGATCATATTTCGTCGCATTACTTGACGCCAGAATTATGACCGCGAATCGTCGTGTCGTATACAACGTCTATATGACCACTGTAAACAATCGTACACGGTCGTATACAATGTCGGTTGCTATCTTATTTCACAAGAGCTTTTCGTACCTCCCCCTCATCCTCTCTCTCTCTCACTCCTCAAGCACAATGAATACGAGCTATTTCTATAAAAATAGACACAAGTATATTTTTAATCCATTGATATTTGCGTTTCTATAAGCTGTTGAATCAAACCTAAATAGAAATAAAAATAATAATTTTATTTTAATTTGATATCTGTATTTCGATAAGCGGTTGGACCAAACCTAAATAAAAAAGTAAATAAATTAAACTCTTTGACTATCAGTTATGATGTTCACTCACTAGATTTGAATTATTATCTTTTGGTGCATATCTGAAAAAGATACTAAAAGTTAGAAGACTACTTCTAACATCTCGACTGGGTGGAATTTAAGCACAATAAAAAGATTCATGAAAATGTAGACTAGTTAAGGGTGGGTGTGGATGTGAATTAGAGAATCGATAAGACCTACACTCTCATACCGACACCCACACCCGGCCACACTCACACTCGTACCCACTGGAGCTCTGTGGAGCCGCTCTTTCTTAACTCCGATTTCAATTCCGAAAATTTTTTCGCATAAATTGGTGACAGCTTACCTATGCAGCAATGTCATTTATTTTGTGGATATCTTCCCCTGTTTTTGGGCAGTTTCTGGTTCTCAAAGAGGGTTCGACCAATCCGCATGAATTTCTTACAATGCATAGAGCGCCTAAAAAAGGGAGATACTTGCTTGAGGAGAAAAAAATTTGAGCCATATTTTTGCGATTTTCTCGAAAAAACTCTGGCTTTATAAGGGAATATATCCGGC